ACTACAATTCCCAAGGTTCCTTAGGAAAAGGGAATGGCTTAAACATGACACACAAACACTTCATGTCTGTAGTGAAGATGTGATCAAACATTTTGCTCTGAAACCCACGGGAGCTATATAAAAAGTCTTCCTTTCTTTCTCAACATACTCTTTTCAAGTATTGATGCAAGAGTGCACTATGAACCATTGTAGTGGTAAAAAATAACCCAAAAATAGTCCAATGTGGTAGAATTCAGGCCAGAGCTGAATCACAGAACCTTCCAGTTGGAAGGGGCCCAGAAGGCCTTCAGGTCCAACCCCCCTGCTCAATTGCCACACACCATGACAGAATACTATCAATTATTATTATTACTTTCCCACTGCTTCATAAAACATACATATCTTTCCAATCCACAGTAACAACCACAAACTTCCAACATTATCAGAGTCTTCCTTCTGGAATCCTGGCTCAAACCCATCCTTAGCCCAGCACTGGAAACTGCTTTGCTTACTTAACCTGTTGTTAAAAGGAAGTCTGGACAAATTTCAAAGTTCTCAAGCAGGCATTTCAACATGTTAAATGACAAGCTTAAAAATGATGCTGTCATCCCACTGAAATAAAACAGGGAGAACATTCTGAGAATGTTGTGATCAAGACCTGGTCCTGACACACCGATGCTCAGCATGCGGGAACATGCTCTTTTCCAACCTGACAGATTATACATCAACTGATTCCACCACACACCCCTTGAAATGAGGCAGTCTCACAAAAGGAGATACTCTACGAGGTTGCCGTTTGCGTGTTTGCACAGCACAGCCTTCCTCAGCCTCGTGCCTTCCAGACACGTTTGGACTGCAACACCCAGAATTCCCGTTCAATGACCCTGCCAGATGGAAGTTCTAGGAGTTGCGGTCTAAATGTCTCTGAAGGCCACCAGGTTGGGGAAGGCTGGCCTAGAATGTTCAATATAAGAGCCTCAAAATCCACATATTGGTTAACCAACCATCAGTTTCAGTATACCAGGCTCTCCTTCATGTGCATTTCTATAGGCCTGGCTGCCTCCCATCTTCTACTCCTGACATGACACGCAAACAGCTCTTTCGCTGAGCAATGCTTTGCATGTTAAAACCCAGTTCAGAGCAGCCACAGGAGCGGATGTACTTATGCCTACAGGGAACAACTGCTGAGGAAGCAGAAAAAAGACCACACTGAGACATTCACCCTAGATGCACATCAAAGGCTGGATGGCTTTATCCGCATCACCAGCACATACCAGCTGAACTGTTTTAACTTTCAGAGGAGAGAACTTATCAATTTTGCTTTCCTATCCCATTATTCCAACCTTATTTCCATCTTCCCAACTTGCCTGGCTACAAGAGCATCATGAACATCTTGACTTGAGCTTGCTATCTGTGTATTTTGGTACTGATCCAAATAAACAAGGGAAGGTGCTCCAAAGAGGAGGTCATGCAGCGATCCCCCCTTCTGGTTATCCAGAAAATGAGGACTGACTGGGCCCAGCTTTTGCCTTGACTATTGTCTAGACAGGGTGAGGGACTGAAAGCCTATGTATATGGCATATCAGACATCCCCAGTGGACACACTCAATACCTGTACAAAAACCCCTGTGGGCTCATTACACAAGTAATACCCAGTGACCTTCATCTAGGCTGCAACACTCATAATCCAACATCGACGCTTAACATGGATGTGGAGAGAAATTTCTATCTGTGGTAGGATTTCAGTCTTTCCTCTATAAATTAATGGGGGGTGCGATCCTATTGTGATGATTGTAAGCCCCTTAACTTGGATGCTTGTGCTAATCCTATGCAGGATGAGACAAGCAGTCTTCATCTTCCATGTTCCTGCACTGCATTTTTTTGCCTGTCTGGCAACTGCATTTCACAATAGGATGGAAGAGGCTGCATCCGGCCTTCACTGGTCTCTTTCACTCTCTTCATCCAAACACCCCCTTCCTCCCTCCCTCCCTCTCCAAGCCAGAGCAGCAGCCAATGAAGGGAAAGAAGGGTCAAAGGGCTGATTCCCAGCTCCAAGGTCTAAGTGCTCTCTCCATGCTCAGATCTGGAAATCTTAAACAACCCAGGGCCTCTCAGATGCTGTCTAGGAGCCACAGGATTATTTCCTAATTACATTTTTGATCAGTTCCATATGAGATTTTTGGAAGAACCAAGACAATTTAGCTTTGAAATATAGCAAGATGGTCAAGATCCTTCTAAAGCATTTCTGTTCATAGGGAACAGCTTCCATTTACTACTCTCAGCCTTCTCTTACATACATTTTCTGAACACTCTCCAACAGAAATATTATACACCCCAAAAAGCTGCAAAGTAACTTTGCTTGCAACAAAGTGAAACCTTTCAAAAATTCCAGATAAAAACTGAAGAGCTTGTAGCATATGTAACATTATTAACTTAATTATTTAATTATCCCCAAGGTCTTCAGTACTCCTATTCCAGATTAACCAGACAAACTCCTCAAAGTTTGGCCTTTGCAAAGCATGTGAGCTTTATATAAATGGTTATCAAACTCCCTTAATCCCTCCTCCCTACACAGATAGCATCATTCCATTATCAATCGTAATTAAATTCTGGAATTGCAAGCTTTGGTACAGGTCCAGCTAGAAAGAAATAGGAAACAGGTCTTAGATACAATACAGTTGATTTCTCTGCTCAAGGTAGCAATACCACATGTGAATTACAGCCCACAAATCAGTCAAATCATGAGTTTAAATTCAGATTAATTCCATAAAAACCAAGTCATTCAACATTTATACTGATAGCTGACCTGAAACTAACCCCTCAGTCAAGGTAATGACCATCTTCATTAAATATGTAAATATTTCCTGGGGCAAGCACCTCTTTTCAATATCATGGTAGAAACATGTAAAAAACTATTTCATGTTGGTAACATTTTGCTGGGCAACTCCTTCCACTGAAACAAATGAAGGTTTTAGTGAATTGAATTATTATCTGGGTCTCTAATTCTTCCTTTAAGACATCTGAAAGCAGATACAATACAATGAAAAGTCTCGGCAGGTTCTTCATTATGGTAAAATTTGCCTAATAATTGCAGAGGAAGGCTGGCTCAGTGGCAGAGTGCATGCTTTGCATACAAGATATCACAGGTTCAGTCCCTGTGGCATCTTTACCTTAAAAGTTCAGGTATCAGGTGATGGGTCAGAGGAGCAGGAGGAAAGGTGGGCTCATTAAGAGCACAGGCACCAGCTAATACGTGCTCTCCAGAGACAGATCTTCCCTAATTCCACAGAGTATAAAAAACCCTAACGATTATGTGGGCATGGGTGCATTTAATGTACTTGTCCCCAAAGCACAGAAATTACATCTCTTGGCAAAGTGGCAAAGCTGCTTTATGCTGCTCTTAACAGTGATATATCTGTATGTACCCATATAGCCAACCTGGTGTCAGAGAAGCTGGGGGAAATGGTATCAACAAGCCAGAACAGGGGTTGTGCTTTCAGAATCCATCCAGGACTGAGGCAGTGTGGCATAGCAAGAACAGTAAGATGATAAGCACCATCATCTATTCTTTTAATGCATTTGATCTTTTACCAGCTGTCAAAAGAGGCTGATCATTTTGCCAGATCCTCTTCAACTTTTCTAAATTCTGACTATCCAATTACCACAAAAAGCAAGCAGGCTAAATTAGAACTTAAGCATTAACAAAAAAAGGAATTATGTTTACTGTCTTCACCAATATTTTCCCTTTAAATCTCTGTATATAAAGTATAAACTCTTCACATTGCATATTGGATTGGTTGGACAGCTTTTCAGAGGTAGAAAATGGTGCGGCATACACATTTTAAGTTGATTCTTTAAAAAAGGTGGGGGAAGGATAAAGAGATACATCCTTCTAAGTCATTATTTCTAACAATGTCATTTGTAAACAAAAGCCAGAGCAGGGGAAGTAGTTCAACAGCTTTAGCCTAATCATAGTGTCTAATTTTCCCAGCTTTAAAATGAAAGAGACATTTCAAATGGATGTAGAACACATTCGTTTGAATTTCAAAGCAGAAAAAGGGTTAGATTCTCCCTTACAGTTTCCAATTCTTATAAAGTATCATATTTACAAAATACTGCTTTTACACATATTATTCCAATCAGAAGGGCATATTCTTAATTTAAAAAGAGAGCAAGAGAGTTCAATGTCATTGAATAATGACTCCCTTTGCCTTCTGAAATTGTCCTCTTGATTCGGAAACTCCAAACAGTAATATTTACATTCTATATACAGATTGAGCTGGTTGGCTCAGCAGTATAAAGTGTCCATCAATATACCAAGATACACAGTGAAATTACTTGGAAATTCAGAATCTGAACAAATTGATGAAGTCTTGGGGTGAAAGGGAAGTCAAGCAACTCTCAGGGTTGTTAGCTGTACATGGATGGTCAGTGCCCTAAAAAAGAAAGAACATTTGGAATTATAAAGCTTACATCACTGGTGATATACCTGTGGGTACTTTAGTCACATCAAGTTAACAAACAGCTTTCATGCAGCAACAAAAGTGAACAACTTGGTCATTACTGAAGACAAAGGCTCAACTAATTCTTCCATATTATTTGCATATTGAACATGGCTCTTGCTACACATATATTCTAGATAATTCCCAGATCTGACCTCTAACATGAAGGAAGGAAACAAGGAGTCTACCTTTTCTATTTCACCTTTACAACAACCTTGTGAAGTAATTAGGGTGAGAAAAGTGAACACCCTAAGCCAGACAAAGAGCTCAATGGCTAGGCAGAAAGTTTAATCCAAGTATCCCTGGTCTAAGCAAAATCTCTTTCTACTATACTATGCTGGTTTTCCCTGATCTGTCCAGGTTTGACTTTGTTATAGGGTTACCATCAACCATCATGGAACCAGTAGCCTAGGGATTTCGTGGGCTCTCCCTTGCTAGAAACATTCAAAAAGCAACTGGACAGCCATCTGAGTGGGATGGTGTAAACTGGTGACCTGCAGCAGCAGGGGGTGGACCCGATGGCCTTTCTGGCCTCTTCCAGCTCTTCTATGATTCTATGCTTTTCCATGGTTAGGGGGCTGACCTACCTTCCAGGACAGAACGTGGCAGTGCCTGCAGAGCTGCAAGCTATCTCCATATTGTTCCTTCCTTGGGTAGCACTTCACAAGCTTGAAATACATCTTCTTCCAGTCCAAATGTCCCTTGTCTGACAAAATTAGCCGTTTGCGAATCTGAAATATAAGAGACACCTTAGAACTATAGAATTGGAAAATGCTTCAGGGTTTGGCTGGTACAAACCTCACCACCGAGCAAAAGGATTTTTTTTTCTTTTTTTCAAAATGAACTACACTAGGTATAACTGCTAATATACCTGTCTGCTATAGCGGTTTGTGCAAGTAAATTAGCCCGTGCAAACTACTTCCTATCCTTTTTGTGATGCATGATCTCTTTTTGAGCAATTCATCCTGCACTTATGTGTTTAAACTGAAAAAGGCCAGATTTGAAAACTGTGTGGCACAGTGCTTAGAGTAAAGCCCAAGAGAACTAGGTTCTAGCCCTGAATCAGCCATGAAGCTCATTGGGTGACTTTTTACCAATTACTGACTTGTTATTAACCTACCTCACAGGGTTATTGTGAGGATAAGATAGACACAAGGAGTAAGATTATATAAACTGTCTTGGGTTACTTGCAGGAAAAAAAGGCAACCTATCAATGCATTTAAATACTTGAATACATAAATATTAAAACACAATATGTGGCACAAATAGGAGAATTATTATTTTAAATAATAATGTAAAAAGCTTCTAAGGAATGTGGCCTGCTTCTACATGTGTCTGTGTAGTTAGTATATGCTGTCATATTTTTATGGCTTTAACTCTGATTGTATGTCACTAGGGAATAGGGGAGTATGTCACAGTATTTCATAAAGCAACTACTTGCTACTGTGGGTGTTCTTTGGATGCATCTGAATCCTGAATTGAGCTGATTCAGCCAGTTTGTGAAATGTCTGCATCAAAGCACAGCTCCTCCAAAGCAGACTGAGTCAAAATCTGAACACTGATGGAGATTCAGGACATGGACAGCTTGTCTCCAAAAACTGGTACGTTTCTGCTCAAGCAGAATACTGAACGAGCAAATCGCTCTTGAAACAGAATGGTCTATGCATCTAATTTATTTATTAGATTTATATCCTGCCTTTTTTCTTACAAAGAACTCAAAACACCTTACATCATTTTCCTCCTCCTGCTTGCAATCTTATCCTATCAACAACCCTGTGAGGTAGGTTGAGCTGAGAGTCTGTGACTGGTCCAAAGTCACCCAGTTGGACTGAGTGGGGACTAGAACCTGGATTGCCTGACTTTTAACCACTACACCACACTGGATCTCGTCTCACTGTTGGTAAAAATTGCACATATAATCTTCTATTGAACTTAAAGATATTTTTATGGTCTTGAGAACTCACCAGATAAGTGATATCCTGCTTCAAAATATTCTCAGTTAACATTCGCAGCACAACACTAGTTTGAACAGTGAAATGAACCAACACCCTAGCCTCTCTTAGTTTCACTGTTAGTTTCATAATCTCGGTCTCTGCTGCTGTTTACCTGTCTGTCTGTGAAGTGGTAGTGGCAAAGTTTTTTCCACAGCAGCCGGTCTTCACTGAGCACCTGAAGACTCGGAGTTACTTGTCCAAGACTCACAATGTCTCTCCCATCTGTCAGCCGCTGCATGATGTTTAATTGTAGACATAAGGGGAGGTCTGTGAAAGTCAACCCTTTCAAGGCAGGCTAGGAGAAAGGAGAGCAAAACAGCATGATATAAGAGCTCTGGAAGTGACTAGCAAAGCAAAGCAAATTTTTAAGAAGATCAACTGACTGATATCTTGGGCTGAAAGTATCAGAGTCTGTCTTTTCTCCTGAAAGAAGCTAGATCTTGGCAGACTGTAAGGATATGACAGACTATGAATATCACCTTTGGATTCTTTGGGGAGAACAGGGGGAAATACACGTCACAAAATGTTGTTATTATTTCCTTATTTATTAGGATATTTCTAACCCATCCAATACAAAACATCTCTGGATGGCTTACAGAGTTAAATTACAGAGTTTTTAAAGAGTTCATACCATTGTTTCACATGTTTTGTTTTGTTAGAAAAATGTAATGCTTTGGAAAATGTGTTATAAAAGAAAGTATTTGCTGTAGAATACAGCAAATAGTAGAAATAATTTGCTGCTCTGACATCCATGCCTAAAGTGTAGCTGTTGGAGGGCAGGGCTGAGGAAACTGGAGCATGTTTGGGGCAAGGCTAATAGGCAGCAGATCTCAGCCCTCCCATTCAACATGCTGGTCACCTTCACACAATTCGCATGTAAAGGAGAAGACACTGAATTGCACTAGTAGGCTGCACTCTATGCATTGCACATCCATCAAGTGCAATGCATAGAGAAACCTGCTTTTGCACAGAGACCTTCTTCGCCAAATCAAGGCCCACATGTCTAATTCCTCTGACACTGCCTGACTTTTAACTGATTGGTTAAATTTAGATTTAACCAATCTAAATTCTCTCTCGGTTACACATTTTGTCGGGAAAGCCAGTAAGTGGTCTCACCCAACAAGCTGGACATGTTGCCCTAAAGTTCTGGGAAGGAGCAATGTAACAGCATGCTGGACTGCTACGCAAAAAGCAGGTTTCTTGCTCACCCTGGTGATTTGGATATTGTTCAGCTGCTGCTGCCAGTGAAGAATCGTCTCCATTCGGTGGACCCACATGTTGATGTTGCCAACCAGAACGGACTTGCCGACACTTTGTACCAGGGTGCAGAGTGACATATAAAGAGTCTGCAGCAGTTCCTTTATAAGCCTGATGTTCTGCTGGTCTTCCAGGACTTTTATGAGAAAATGAAACAACAAAATATCAGACATGAGCAAAACACAATAAATACTGAAGAATCTGTTATCAGGACCTAAGGAATGGATGAGGAAAGGAGGGAATGGAAACAGGCTGGTTTTGTTTCTTATTCTTTGCCTATTTAAATAAGGGACACTGTACAGTTTTATACCTTGCAGTGGGGCAGTGTGTTTTGTCCTTGTATGATATTTATAGACATACTTCAGGATACAGCTGAAACTCTTCAGTATACATATCAAACATGTCACCAAGTTACAGGATGAATCTTGAAGAAGTATCTTTTCACAGATCTTGTCAGATTGCATTGTCAGAAATATTGAGTGGCTATACACAGGCATTATTATAAAATGAGAATGTTTCATTTTTAAAGTGTGTATTTGCACATTTTTGTCCCTTGCTGATTTTTGCTTAGCCCCTGAAAAAAAGGCTTTACATATCATAAAGGGCTAAAATGTGCTATTCTAGGTCAGAGATGAAAGCTATTTTTTCAACACCCCAAGACTTTGCTTCTGTATTTCACTGAGTTCTTTCGGAAGTACTCTAGTGTTGTCTGACCTTTTCATCCTTTGCCTACAGTCTGGTACACCAGTCTGTAAGTTGCAAAATTTCCTTCCTAAAAATTCAAGAGATTGAATATAGGCATCCTATAGCTGAGTTCCATGAGACTTACTCCCAGACAAGTCTTCACAAAACAAAACCAATGGTTTCTGAGCCTGAATAAACATACCTGGGATCATTTAGTCCCCTGCAAAGTTGAGAAACCTAAAGGTACACTTTTCCTAAAGTTACCTTTCTGTACAACTTTTTCCAAGATGTTCATAAAGTTTTTCTGGGCAATTCCACTCAGTGACGTTAGCTGAGACTTCGCTATCAGCTCCAGCAGCTGTGGATAAAAATAAGAATTCGGCCTTTAGCAGCACAAACACACTTTTCTAATCTTGGCTTCCTGTCCTATGACACATTGTGAGGCAGTTTAGGTGCTTGTTTGTTCCTTGATTTAAATTAAAATGGGGCGAGGGGAGAGAAGAGCCAGAAAAAAAAAAAAAAGACAGGTGCAAGAGCTTAAAATGATAGTAATCTATTTGCCTCTTCTTGTCAGTTTATTCAGTAAGCCAAGTCATTAAATCTGACAGCAGGAAAAAAAATAGATTGTGGCCATCTAAGCTGCTTTGTTGTACAAAGGAACTTATCGTAACCATACAGTGAAAGAAAGTCAAAATCCCCTTGAGAAAGTGACAGGTGGAAGGTTCCCTCTTCTGTGTGTGTCTGGGGGCAGTGGGGGCGGGGAGCAGATACACATTTCACCAGGGCTCAGACAAGCAACCTTGTGGTCCGAACAACTAAAAGAGAACAGCTCTGCACATTGTACAAGGTTTAGGATCCCCTACTCTGAAGCCCACCCTCCCTCTCCCCCACAATGCTTTTGCAATTCGCTTTGCTTTCCCCAGATTCAGTTCCCTTTCCCATCACTGGATAAAGAGGACTCTGCACTTTATCTGCATTTGTTTCATTACACCCTCCGTTTCTATGGCACTCTGCCCCCTCCCTGCCAAAAAAGCAGGTCCCTGCCTCCAAGAAGTTCACAGCCTGAATGCCATTGTGAGAAACACAACCAGCAATGTGGGAAGAAGACACAAAGGTAGCAAGGGGTGAATGCGAGTGAAACACAGTCACCTGTATTTAAAACTCAATCACAGTTGGAGATAAAGACTAAGGACTCATCATACTGTGACACTAACTGAAGATATTTGACCCCATCCAGCAATGAAACTGGGCTCCAAGATCACTGCAGACAGGGACTGCAGCCAAGAAATTAAAAGACACTTGCTCCTGGGGAGGAACGCTATGGCAAATCTAGACAGCATACTAAAAAGCAGAGGCATCACCCTGCCAACAAAAGTGCGTACAGTCAAGGCTATGGTTTTCTCAGTTGCAATGTATGGCTGTGAAAGCTGGACTATAAGGAAGGCTGAGCGCCAAAGGATTGAGGCCTTTGAATTGTGGTGCTGGAGGAGACTCCTGCGAGTCCCTTGGACCGCAAGGCGATCAAACCGGTCAGTCCTAGAGGAGATCAACCCTGACTGCTCTTTAGAAGGCCAGATCCTGAAGATGAAACTCAAATACTTTGGCCACCTAATGAGAAGGAAGGACTCCCTGGAGAAGAGCCTGATGCTGAGAACGATTGACAGCAAAAGGAGAAGGGGACAACAGAGGATGAAGTGGCTAGATGGAGTCACTGGGGCAGTGGGTGTGAGCTTGAGTGGACTCTGGGAGATGGTGGAGGACAGGAAGGCCTGGAGGAGTGTTGTCCATGGGGTTGTGATGGGTCAGACACGACTTCGCAACTGACAACAACAACAAAGCAATGAAACATGCATACAAGGGAGCCTACACCATATTGGCACAGATCTGAAGTCATACTTCTGAGGTCTTTGATTCCCACTTGGTTCTGCACTGCGTGGATGATACCCTATGTATCATCCGGGTGCAAATGTCTTTTTGCGTGAGGTGGCTTGGGCTGAAAGGCTGCATCCCCAACTCCACCCATGTTTGTCTCTGGCCACAGCCACTGCTGGAATGCACGCCCGGACAGGTGTCGACAGAGGAAGCTCTGCCTTGGCAAGACAAAGTGTTGCTCCTGTTGTTAAAAGGAGGGGAGGAAGTCTGTCACTGCTCTGCCCACTTGGAACAGAGAATTCATGCCCCATTATCAACGCATTTCCACCAACCTGGAGCACACGCAACAGGGAAGAAGAGGTGGAGCGGAGTAGCTTTTATTTCAACCACTTGCTCCTTTTGCCCAGTGCTGTCACCACCATGTGACTGTCAGCTCACGGCAGCAAAGTGGCCAAGGGTGACCGATACACTCTTCTGTTTATCTTTCCGGCCACTCTGAACGTCAACAGATGGCTCTCCTGCGTGGGCATTCTATTAATACCGCGCACAGCCACATGACTGCTATAAACCAAGGGGGTGGAAACCGAGTCAAGGCTAATTGGTTAAGCTGTATTAATGTCAGCTAATGCACTTTATTTCCATGACTCACCACTTTGGTTAGAAGTAAACCAGAACACATGGACGCACAGGTGTGCATTTTTCAAACAGCCCCAATCTGCTGCCCGCACATATGTTTCCACACCTATAATTCCACATAGGCATACCTAGAGTCAGGGGGGACTGTACCACATACACTAATGACTATTCAAATCTACCCAAAGCACAGGGATTTTGAAAATTAAACTTCTAGTCCTTAATATCATGGGTGGGGAGAAGTACAATTCAAGCCCAGGACTATCCGCCAAGAAATAAAAAGCCTTTTATGGCAGTATGTCCTAGAACAGCCTTCCCCAATTTATTTCTCCCCCCTCCCCCGATGTGGAGAATTTCCATGCTGCCAGGGAATGATGGGAGTTGCTCACTGACTCACTTAATTTTGGCTTTCAAAAGGCCTCCTGGAAGTGTGACTAAGCCTGCATACAACCTTTTGTGTTTTTCTTGTGATGCCCCAGAAGAAAATCCTTTTATACTTATGCAGCAGCATCTATTATGAACTCAGATGTAAAACTAGGAAAAAATGCTAGGAATGTTTCAAGAATTCATTTGGAAAAAGGAAAGCGATATAACATATTTCTAAATGTGCTCTCCCAGCCATCTCCAGTAGACGCTGGTATCTAGTCAAGGTTAAAATAGTCATCTCGGATGAAAATGATCTATTTGTCTAACTGTGTAGGTCCTGTGTGCTGTAACACAATTCCACTGGTATCAGTGGCACACAATTTCCCCCACGTAAATTAATACACACATTCTCTCCTATGCATGGTGAGAGTGAGTAATCTCTTGCTAAGCATGGCTAAGAGCAAATCACATGGCGAATTCTTACAGGGCGGGAATGTGTCACTGTCATCTGCCTATACAACACCTTGGGCATTGAGTAAATTTGGACCTCTGGTCAGGAGCTGGGGAAAAGCAGGGAAGGCACATGCTCAAAAAACCAGTGCATCAGCTTCATTTCTATGACTCGGGATTGTGGGGAATTAGTTAAACAACAACCCATGTGCATGCGCAGAGTTTTCAGACAGGCTTTAGCCTTCTCCATAATATGCAAAGGAATGTGTGATGCAGGGATGCCTTGAAATACACCATCTGAAACATGCACACCTGAAATGACACAGTTCTAAAAACTGAGCTACATGCCCAGCCCAGTGTAGGAATTCCATCTAAACATGTTCTTTTCCTCCTCCAGTTACGCTTATAATCAGGGCTTTTTTTGTAAGAAAAAAGGTGCCAGAACTCATGAAATTATTTACCTTTTGCACATAGTCCATCACTGTACACACACCCACACACGTCAGTTGTGTAACGAAACATAAGAGGTCACCTCCCACAGTAAGCACTCAGTGTGCGACCACAGGACCAACCACAAGCCGAGCAGCGCCATCACAACCAGTGTGAAGTACGCATGCATCGGATTCGACACACAAGCAGCCTGCATGCACCGTTTTAATGATTTTGCTGCCGACCTGCTATGCTCAACAGGGCGATTCAAATCCAATAATGATCCGCAAAATTGGACCAAATATCAAATTTTCAAAAGTTACTTTTAAAACTTGGAAAATCTGTTGAAAAAAGGTGCCGGAACTCTGTTCCAGTGCATTCTTTGACAAAAAAAGCACTGCTTATAAACCTTAAGGTGTTGGAAAGAAAATGTCATTTACTTGTCTTATTTGTATCCCACTCTTCCTCCCAAGGACTCAGGGTACAATACGTTTCGCATCCCAACGATGTTGCGATATGAATAAATGAGAATAATCAAATACTACGCAGCAACTTTCACAACCAAGCACGCACCGAAGACAGGTTTCTTTACTTCTTACATATTTATCCTGTCCTTCCTCCAAGGAGTTTAAGGGTGGTTTATATGCTATTTCCCCGCATTCCGTTTTTTGTCACAGGAACCCTGCAAGGCTGGTGAAAGTGAGAAAGTGGAACCGGTCCAAGGCTGGTCCTAAAGTTTCAGAAGCTGCCCAAACCACTGGGTCCTGTCCAGACAGTGGTCGCCTGGCCTGTGCTTGGCTCACCCACCGGGCTGCTCCCGTTTCTCCCTCCAATTAGGCTCCTTTCTACTGGAAACATGGATGCAAGGGCCACCTGTCATCCCTTGCCCACTTAATGGAAGTTCCGAATGGAGGAGGGAGGCATGGGAAACTACTCTCGCCCTGTCAATGTCTCCCATTCCCTTTCTATTCCCAAGCCATCTTTTCTGTGCCAGGGAACTGGTAAAGGATTTGGCTCTGGGGAAGTTGCACAGACCATCGACTGCCATGTAACATTTCCAAGTGAAGGTGCTCACGGTATCGCCGAACTGGCTCAACTTCAGGGGCATTGCTGGGCATTTAAAAGGAGCCTAGGCTTAAAGGGCAGAAATCTGCGTGAAATCTGCCCATCCTAACTTGCTTCCACAACAATATGCAATCTTAGAAATAATCATTTACATTTCACAGGGGGCAAAGCCAGCCGATTATTTCCTCATACAAATAATCTCAACTTAGACCAGTTATTCCATTCAATTACATCTTGACCTATTTTGTCCCAAAGAAATTGATTTTTTTTCCTGGAAAGCTTAATTGTCATGCAGAGGAAAATATTTTTGTGGGGTGGGGTATTGCATTTCGCAGAAAAGGGAGCGTTAAGTCTTCCTTCTACAGTTGCAATTCCCCTTGAAAATTACCTCCTGCTTTAAGCTTAGGGAAAAGAAAACAAACACAAAAAAGCACTATCAGAACCACGGTCGCTTACTGCTCTGCAAAATAGATTCATGGCGGGGGCCTAGCAACAGTCTTGCCCTGACACCTTCAGTAAAGACTGCCAATAACTTTTTTAGACTATTTCTCTGCCCCCAATCACGAGAGCTAGAAACTTACAAATTTTCAAAAAGGCCAGTTTGTTGGACCTCTGCTCAAGCTACTCGATTCTGTTAGCTGCCAAAATCAAAGTGGTGCAAATACCTAATTAACTATTTCATCAGTTAGCTTCAGTGCATAATACTTTTCCAGCTTGTATCTGGAGTATCTGCAACGTGCCAAAACTTTGCTATTATGGCTTTTGCATGAAGGCTGGAGCCAGCAAAGAAGTGCCACAGACGTGGCACAAGCCGAGATGAGGTTTCACCTACAAACAATCGCTCACATGGCTCTCTGGTTCTCCTGCTGCTTTGGAAGAGATGGACTGCAGTAAGATAATTCCATGTATAGCCGAAGCCTTCCAGAAAGAAACCACACTCAGCTGTTTATGCAGGATTTTATGATGTGAGCTATTATTCACCAGGGACTTGGCCAATAAGATCAATTTATTTAAAACATCATGTTCTTATTTGAGCTATGGGAGTTGGATGGAACATTCTTTTTCTCACTGCCAAACCATCGGCCAGTTTGAATTAGAGAGTTCTGAACTCATAGCTACCACTCAATTTCTAAGGCTCCGGGAAGTAAGAGGAGTACCGGTTGGAGAAAAACTCAGTTATTAGTTCGCAAATGCTGTTGCCTCTACATGTTTTCATACTAGTGGAGAGAAAACACAAAAGTTTGGAAGTGGCCTAAAACAAGAGCTATTCTGTATATTATCTTGCTTTTCGGTTGCTTGAATTCATTTGTTTACATTTTTTATTCAGCTGTTATTTTGTTGTGTGTAGCTACTGTGAAGTCAGTGCTGCATTTTTAACTGTTCTGGAAATAGTTTTGTCTGTCCCACAGCCTCCTCAAGGCACCTCATGCCACCACTTTATCCTCACATGAACCCAGGGAGACAATTTAGGCTGCAAGAGAAAAAAAACACGATAAACCACACTCAAGAGTTGAGTACAGTTTCAGTGTAGGCTTGTTGAACCACGGGTTGGTGCTGAAATGGGGTTACTGTGTCATCTGAAGTCAGCTGCACTAAGAAGCTGAGACTTCTTAACCATGAACAACCCATGAAGAGGGATTGTTAATGACAAACAACCAATAAGAGCAGCCCATGGCTTGTTGTACAGTTACTGTGTGTTGTTCAGTATGGCTTATTATCTCAGCTAGGTTCAAACAACATGAGATCCCAAATTTCAAAAACAGCAACAACAAATCATGAGTGTGATTTATTATGTTTTCTGAACACAGTTTCAAGACTGAGTGAAGATTTAAATCCAGGTGGCACTGGGCTTAATCCAATACTCTGGCCACCACACCACACCAGCTATGGGATGTTATTGTCCAACCGGGATTTAAGAGGTTCAGCTTGTCCTTATTCCATTTGCTGTTGCCACTTTGATTCCAAATTTCACACCCAGAACAATACGAAATATTCAAAATGAAATATTTTAGATCATTACCACCTCTGGTTGATTTTCCCCTTTGCATAACTAATTCCAGGGAACAATTTCAACACAGGAAAGCCATGCTGAATTCGAAAAGCTGGTTGTAGCAAAGTTGTTTCCTAAATGCTATGCTCTCCCTGTATTTTTCACTAACACAGCTTAACAAGGCAAGACAGGGCAGGGCAAGAGAAGAGAGGAGGAGAAAGGAGGAGAAAAAAGGAGAAGAGAGAAGAGAGGAGGAAAAAGGAGGGTATGTCAGTAAAAAGATCTTTAGCCATTTCAAGCTGCTAAGAGTGTTCAGACATTTAAGAACCAAAGGGACATCCTGCATTCTATTATGGCAAGCCTTCAGGAAATGACTCAGGTAACACCAGGCCACATTTCCTGTCTGCTATATACCATGGAGCTCTCCACTGTGAACAATTCTGTTATGTTTGTTTTCACATAAAAACAATGTACCCTCCATTCACGAAACGTCCCTGTGCACAAACACACCTACTCATTTCCCTGATCTCTTTCCTTCAGGCCTGCATGTCTCTGAATCTTTTATTCCACTGGGCTACTGCGCTGCCAGCTGAATTAAATAATGAGGTAACTCTTAAGCAGGGCACACTGAGATAACAGCAAGACACATCAACTCTGCACTTCTCTCTTGCTCTCTCCCCTCCCCATTCTTCTGGTTTGGCTAGGGGACTGGAGGAAAGTGTAAGATGGGTTGGCCATGCCAAGAAGCCATCAATGCAATATGCATATTGCTACAACCTAAGGTGCAATTAACTAGAGTCACTTTATCAGTCCTTCCAACAACATTTCAACAGAGAACAAGATATTACTTTTAATCCTACGAACATTGTTTACATCACTCACTCAAAGAGAAATTTCAACACAAACACCATCGAATGTATTCCAAATACAGAACTTTTTAAAATGTACTGGGGCAACAAACCAAGGCTCACCATGTATGTAACCTCCTCATGTCCTTGTATGTCAACCTACGGTGCTCATCTCCGTTTCCTAGCTGAGGGAGCCAGCATTTGTCTGCAGACAGTTTCCATTTCTGTTACCTTCTCACTGAAGTGGTACCTTTTTAATCTACTTATATTTGCATGCTTTCAAACTGCAAGGTCGGCAGGAGCTGGGACGGAGCAACGGGAACTCACCCCGTTGTGCAGATTCGAACTGGCGACCTTTTGATCCACCAGCCCAGCAGAACAGCAGTTTAAACCACTGCGCCACCTGCATCCCTTGTGGGGAACACTTGGGGAGTCTCAAATGTAGCAGGTCCAGAACGGCACTTGAGCCAGGAGGCTTAACCCAGCCACCAAGCAGCACAGCCCAAACGGGGCCTAGAAGTCCACTCGGAGCACCTGATCTACATTCATGCTAGATAACAGGTTTGCAGTACAAGGCCCAACCAACTGAGTATCGTCCCTTCAGTTGTCCCCAGCGAAGCATCCGGCTCAGCTAACGACCCATCAGTCAGAATTTCATCCTAGAACCTAAAACCACGAGCAGCTGATGCGTGCCCAATTACTTAACAGTGATGAGGCAAGACTGCAGCTATGTGTAAACAGTTTTGACCTAATAAGAGTTTGGCTAGCTGGCTAGTCTGCTTCCTTGATTAGCAACATTTTTAAAAGTGATGGAGACAATGGAATAGGGAATAGATTAGGGATGTGATGCAAGGAAAAGGGAGAAAACAAATCTTGGTGGGATGAAGGGCAAGGAACCGACTCTGTGAGGTGGAGACTTGGAGCTGGAGAAAATGAAAATATCAAACCCTCTGATGGCTAGAGAGACTTACCACCCAACTTTCTTTCTGGGTTTCAAATACTTAGCAACAACCATCCAAAGGTTTTTAGGGAGTTGTCAGGAAAGGACTTGAAATGTGTTGAGTAACAGAGTTTGGGCTTCCAAATTTAGCATCAGAGATGGCATTCCATACTCTGGGATATCTGCAGTCAGACACACTGCAGGACTTTTTGCACATGAAAACAATTCCTCCTGATCCTATTTGAGTCTACATGGATATCAGCCATGCCGAATCCAATGAAGACCTTCTCCAAGAAAGCAAGCAGAGGACTGCCACTAAATTACACTTTCTAATTACCAGAGATCACACAGAAATAAAACTAAGTATATAATAACCAGTGCACATATCAAATGTAGCTATGCTAATAACCGTGAAGACAGATATTCTGCTATGTAAGAAGCTGACTGACCTTGCAGTTCTTCCACACAAATATCCTGTGTGGAAATAGCCACACATTTTCTGCAGGCAAATTGGGGTATGCACGTTTAGGGGGAAATGTCACTGATGGAGAGTCAGAAATCCTTGCTAATGTACAGTACAGGAGAACACACAGGGAACTATTTTCTGTCCACCTGGGCAAGCATGTTTGCACGCTCAACTTTATTGTTTGTGGATTTTCTGATCAGAATGAATGGCTTTGGGGAGAGATTCCCTTACACTCACCCGCACAACGTAGTTGAATCGCCTGGAGTCCAGAATGGCATTTGAGAAGTCCAGCCGATTGAAAGCTTCTCCCAGGGTGCAGTAGCCGTGGCGCTGAGAATACAGGGAAGTGAAATAAACATGCAATTCATTTGTATTAGGGATTCTGGATGGAGACAAAGGAGTACATAATCTGAAGTTAGTGCTTCAAGGTAACCGATTCTAGAGCGTTTCAGAAGAATCAGGGCTCTGCTAATAACAGGAAGAGAATGAAATGCCTGAATTTTATTAAGAAGAGCAACTAAATAATAGAATAACAGATTCTACTTCCTGGCCTCCCAACATCCAAGAATGTAGTCTTAACAGGAAGCATCTTTAAAACTCCACATGAATATTAATTCAGAGGGCAGTTCTCACTTTCTCTAGGCTACTCCAAAGACAGACTTGGTCATCTAGCCTACACTGACTGAGTTTGATGACTGGGCGAGGAAAGAAGCCATGCTGGCTTCTCTACCCCTAGTCGGGTTGCCGTGTTCTCCAAATGAGATGAGGTTAGCGGCAGGGGTGGTTTCCAAACCATGCCACAGCCTATGGCTTGTTCTAAGGTTGTGGAGTGGTTTGGAAGCCACCCTCGCCAGCTTTGAACAATGCAGCAACCTGAGGCCAGTGAGGTTAACTGGAGAAATGAGGCAGCATGAAACTGGCATGCAAGGGCCGGAAAAAGAGGCCAGTGGCTTTTTTCCCCTTTCCCGCTTGTGAGAATCTGGGCAAACCATTTACTACAACTGGCCATGGCTCTTTAATGTCTAATTCAGATGCCCTTCCAACTCTATCCTAAAAAAAACAGAGAACTGGAGCTCCCAGAGTTTGGACTTTGAACCTTTAGCATGCAAAGCATGGTTCAGCAATTCACAGAGCAACAGGCAATCCTTGGTGTATCAGAAATTAAACTGATACTACACTGATCTTAATGAAGAGGCTGAGCAATGGAAATTACTAGTCAGTATTAGCACCATTAATACTTGCATACTAATACCAGCCATAGTCAACTGCTTATTAGCTCAGCCTTAAGCTATTTTTTAGCTAGGGCAAACAGAAGCAGAATGAGCTATTTTAGACAAAATTACACTGTTAAAAATACGAACAGCTACTCACTTCTTTTGTGCTTCCCTTATGCACGTAAATCCACTTTTCTTGATGAAAATCTGTTCAAACAAAAACACATTTTTCCTGTTAAAGAGAGAAATGCTGATTACACTTCAATTCGCTTCATTTTGTGTGCACTTTTTACAGCAGGTAACATGAAAGTGCAGAAAAAATGTCTAAATTATTGACTTTTTTTAAATCAGCAAGATATTAGAAAGTGTTAGCATTTCAGCTGAGAATTCAGGGTTATAAAAGTGACTGTATTTCAGTACCTTGATAATGGTCAAAATAATAGAAAATACGGATTGTCAAGAAATCAACAGAGGCAAGACACAGCTGGGTTTTCTGGTCATTAATTTGCCAATTTGGGTCAACTAACAAATCTGAAGCATGACCAACTTTGGCCCCCTGCACACTTTTGTCCAGCATTACTAAACTGCAAGATAACAAGCATATGAGCAAAGTAATGTTATCCATTTTTAAGGATTTTGTGAGGTGGACTACAACTGTGAAATGATTTTTGACATTTGAGAAAAAAATATTCTTCTTTCAACTTGGGAACAGCTGTTTGAACATCTGAATCAGAAAAATGATGAAAACAGGAATTTCCATGCTAAAATATTAAAACAATTTTGCTGCCCGATGAATCAAGAGCACATTGTAAGTTGATCAAAATGGGTTAAGAAAAGGTTAATCTAACTAAACAGCAGTGCAATCCTAAACCTAGACATCAGAAGTAAATATCATTGAGTCCAACAGGGCTTACTCTAAAGAAAGTGAGTATAGGATTGCAACCTTCCCAACCAAAAAGGCACTGTTCTTTCTTGGTTTTCTACTCTCTAGCACTTGTCTTACGGCTTGCAAATGACAGAAAACCAGATTGCGACTATATGCTGTTTTGATTTTAATGTGGGCAAAAGGGAGGACATTGGGATGGGATGGGATGGAAACTGGTAATAAGGGAAGGAATGTGGACTGAAGTTCCTAGTCTACAAAACTGCAAAACAAATGAAGCAGAACTGGGACATAGAAATCTCTTACCAGTTCTGGCTTTGGCGCCGATAAGTGAGGAGTTAAACTCTCCTACATTAGCCTTGTTTGAATGGAACTGTAAACCAAAGGCCATAATTGAGCATTATATGCTTGGACCAGGGTTGTGTCAACTCCCCACTCCAACTCTCTTGCATCCACAAAGAGATGAGAATCTTTCAATTCAATTTATTAACCACAGTTTACTGTTTATATCCAAACCTGTGGTTAGTCTAAATTAAGTTTAGGGCAGCCTTCTCTAACTTGGCCCCCTCCTTTACCATGTTGGTCAAGGAGGATGGAAACTGTTGCCGAACACATTTGGAAAGCACCAGATTAGCAAAAGCAAGTTTAAATGTAGTTTATGAGAGCAGCTATTTTTCCTTAACCATTGTTAGATCAGCTGCACTCCAGAGTTTGGATGCAATCTTGAACATACTCACAATCAACTAACCAACCAACTAGCCATCTTAACACCAAACTGTCTCCTTTGCCTTCTTCCCTACATTCTCATTGTTAGGTTCAACTTTCTTTGCCACATAACAACCCTTTGAAGATATTTCTTTTTAAAGCTTTTATTGTTTCTATCTGATTTTAGATATCGGCTCTCCTGGCATTGGGGGTATATGTTCAAGAAGCCCACCATGGGTAACAGAATCAGTTCAGGCTATAGAGAGGTGTCCAGAAAATGGGTGCAGGGAGAAACTGGAATCAGTTAATTTAAACGTACTACTGGGAAAAGGATTTCTCTTCCTTTGCCAAAAGCAAATGACAAAAATTTGAACACAACAAGCTCAAAGGCATGGAGCAAAGATTAATCTCCATATTGCAATGGATCCAAGCAAAGGTCAGAGTAGGGATACAAACTCTCCCCAGGGACTTCTGGAAGAGCTGCAAAGGTCATTTCATTGTGTGAGAAGTATAGGGTTCCCCTTCTGCAAGCACAGTTGTTTATTGTTGTTTTGGATTTTTATGCATCTCCTTCAGTTCATGTCTTACACTGAATCCTTGTCTTGTTGTTCAACTGATCCTTCTTTCTCTTCTTGGCAGCAACATCACAGTTCAGGCTGTTGAAAATGTTCTCCTTATTGCATTCTTCTTTTCTGCTGTAACTGGGGGTGAGACAAGAAACGGGGAGACTGTAACCTGATTTATGTCATTCCCCCACTACTCCCAAAGAAGAGGTGCTTGGAATAGAAATATCAGCAGTTAAGTTTACACATGATGCATGATTGTACTGGTTACCTCTTTGCTTCTGGGGCTGTTCCAATGTGGCACAGGCTTTGCATATGCTCTAAAAACTCTCTTTGTGTCTGCGTGTGTGTTTTTAAACAAGCCTGTTTCCTAAGGACACCCCCATGTGCAGGAAGGATTCTACAGAGAGGGGAAGAAGGGCATTTGATTTCAGGAAGAAAATTCAGGCGGAAAGATTTGAGGATGGGGGGCAATGGAAGTGAAGCACATGTGAAGAAAAGGCCAGCTATGCTGGGGCACCAACCCGAGTGGGCCATCCCCTAAACACGCCCGAGTCCCATTGTTCCAACTCCTTCTAAACTAAATGATCAAATATATGGAAAGAACTTCTCCAATGCCTGGTTTGGCACCAACCATCTTGGGATTCCATTTGTACATCTGCACCAGGATTTGGTGGAGGGCAGGTAACCCCTTTTCACTAGTGATCATTTAGTGAAAAGATGCTTCTTAGAAATGAACTGGCCCATAGATCACTTCCTTTACTGGAGATGCCTCGCAAATTCAGGAACATGCAATAGCAATTTTCTAGGCGGCGCTGATGAAAAACAGACTGGCCAGCAGGGCTCATTACGGCACAAATGACCATAATTTAATGGGAATTGCACAACAAATGTCACGACCCTTGCGAAACACACTTGCACTTCCTTTAACCTCCTCGTGCTCCTCTAATGCCCTCTAGCTTCCTGCTTCTGTCATACCTGGGTCATGCTGCAAACATCTTCAGGCATGGATGCACTCTGGTTTTCATGCACCCGGCACTTTAGAAGGTCTATAAATAACGAAATCTTGGGAGCAAAGCTTGAATAGCTCTGATGATAGAGGAGAAGAGCAATACGGGACTAAAAGCCATTCTACATACCAGGTGGAACAATGCTCCAGGATGAGACTATTTCAGGCTGTCTGGACACAGGGTGACTGCATGTTTCAGTGCTTCCATGCGGGGGGAAATGCTCAATGCCCCTAGAAAACACATTCTATGGGGGAGACATTGTGGTCCCACTCCCCCCAGGGGCTAATTTTCTAAATATAAAAAGTTCTCCATCCTCTTGTAGAAGAAGCATTCCAGCTATCCCCTCTGCCTACAGGCTGAAGTGTACCACCCAGGTTTCCGAATGTCCGAAAAACTCCATCATAACTTTTAACCTTGGTGCAGTTTAAGGACATCAAGATTCCCCAAGCTGAGCTGACGTTCACAAGTCTGTTCTGGGACCCAGCTGCTGCTCTAATACAGATGGCCAGGTGAGCCTAGGCTAGTTGGGTTGTCTTTACCAACCCACTAAGTGGTAAAGCAGCAATATAATGGTTAACTATAAGCACTTTCTTATTCAGTGCTCTTAGGGATGCACTGACACTGGGAAGTCTGGCTTGTTTCAGCTCAGAGAGCCTCCTGCTGGCTTCCAATCTGATAAGCTGAGTCAGTTTTTCCCCCCTGTAGAATTCTATCTCCAAGACAGTGTTAAAAAATAAAATGAGCAACCTGCAGCCTAAGAAAATGTGCCCAAACATGCAGGTTTTGCTATGTGCATAGACTTGAGTAAACCACACTCGAACTGCATAGAATTCCACCAACTGAAAACTAAAAACTATGCAATACTAGCATGATCTGTATAATTTATGCAAATAGAGTGATTGACTCACAAAATGAGCAGACACCAGAGCAAGACTAATGAACCGGAATAAAGGGGGCCAAACCCTCGCCGGATTCCCTATACATCCCTACAGGCAAACGTTTGTTTATGCATCTAAGGAGCTCTGTACTGTGGGAATCACCTTCTGCCTAGAGCTGGGACGGGCAACAGAAGAGCTGCGGGCTGCATGTGGCCCCAAACAGCCTCCATCCTCCAGCATGCCACACGTGAGTCATCAACAAGCTGCTGCAAAAGCTTTAACAGGGCAAATAAAGGACTCTACAGAGCCATCATTTATTTGAACCAAGTCTTCACACCTCCTTCACTACTCTGAGGCACTACAACAGCGCCATGGCTTCAGAATTCGTGCAAAGCAGAGCTGCATCAAGAGGCAAACTGGGTGTCTCCTTTACACCAGGCATGGGCAGTCTTCAGGGATTCATTCTGCACTGTTGTTTTTCATACCAGCTCTCAGGCCCACCAAGGGAGCCTGGGGCAAAATGGTGGCTCCGAGAATGAAGCGAATGGCTGATTGTGCTCTATGAGCCTTGCACTGAGAAAACCTTCCTAAACAAGTAAAATCTTATCGAAATCATAACGCTTACTGTTGAACCATCTGCCTGCCCCTACCTCACACCACTGCCATTGAGTAAAGCTAGAAGGGCATGTGGCTCTCCAACAAGTTCGCAGCCTTTTTCAGTTAAACTTGAGTTTTTGCTGAGTTTGTACTACAGAAGTTTGCTCCTAATAGGGAGGCTGAGTTCAGCCAACCAAGTGACTTAACGATGAATTCGACACAGCCATGAATGCAACAATTTTTCGGGTAGTTTTAGAAAACTCAAAATGTATGCAAACACTACCCCATAATGTCTTTTCCCCCCACACAGAGCTGAACAATTATGGCAGGAGAGCTGTGAAGCACTAAACCTATAATCTAACCAATTCGTATTTACATAGTGATCTGTTTTTATCACCCTAAATGCAATGTTTGGGTCATGAACTATTTTAAAGGTATGTCTAAGAGAAGAAAGTTAAAAGAAAAACAACAACTAAAAGAACAGAAAAGCCCCTGCAAAATGAGAAATTCCCTCCTGCTTTTTAAAATTATAACAAAAACCTGTTCAGATCCAACACTATTGCCAAATCTCCTGGCTGGTCTGTGGGTGGATTAAATCTCAATCTCAAAACAATGGTAGGGGGAAAAAAATAATGACTTCCTTCTCTACTCTGCAATGCCAAATAGAGGTTAGTTTCCTATCGCCCATTGACTTATTCACTAGTGCAAGGATCAGACAACCTACTGGAGCCTTTTGTACTCAGGAGACTAAAACTAGGTATCCTATTTCTTTGTTCTGCTCCAAACAAGGGATCCTAATGGTGGTGCTCCAGGCAAAACAAAAAGGATATTGTTTCTGCCATAAAGTACAGTAAAACGATCTTATGTTCTCGAACTCCATTTGCAGCTCTAGCCAGAAACATGTTCACTTTGCAACTGCACCTTGTAAATTCAGGAGCTAGTACATTGGATACAAAATTCAGCACTGCAAAAACATCAACTTTTTCTTCTTCTCTGTTTGAGACCACAAAAAAGGCATGAAATACAGGACATAATGAAATCTCAAACAGCAAATCAGGTTTTTTTGGGATGGGTGGGGTGCAAGCTGGATTTTCAGGGGTCAGGGAAAGTAGGCCCTCTGTTGTTCTTTGTCCTCCTGAATGACCAGAAGCAGAATAAATTAAGGAAATCCAGCAAGTATAGGCTATTTTTCTGGTTTGTATGATAAATACAGGCTGCAGAATTCAGCTCACTGGCTTGCCTAATGCATTTATGGTCTTCTTGCAAGAAACTCAAGGAATCTTAGTTTCCTTGTTTTATCCTCGCCACAACCCTGGAGGTGGGTTAGGCTGAGACTTAAGCTTCGGAGCTGCATAGGGGCTAGAACCCGGATCTCCCAAGTTTGTAGTTCAGCACTGGTCCTACTGCACCACACGGGCTCTTTTGCTGTGGATCCCCACTATTTCTTTTACCTCCCATGTAAGTACTCAAGAGTCCAGGCTTGGCCACCATGTGGAGACATGGGATGTTTAAACCTTCCCAAACAGTCATTTCGCCAGCACCACCTACATTCACCCTCCTTCATGGCACTCACGAAGGTTTTTCTTTTCCTTTTTAGCTGCCGCAAGAAGAAGGCAGAAAGGTGGAATTTAGGAACCAAATAGCTGATCCGATGCAGAGGAGAACACGACGGGGAGATCTGACCACTTCTTACTCAGAACATGCAATCTGGAATATTGCCACTTGACCTGGCCAGTGCAGAAGTGAATTGTACTCAGCACATCTACAAATGCTTACAGAGCACTGGTATTTCTGGATATGTTCAGGGAAAATTCCAAATTATTGACATGTTTGGTTTGGCTTCCAAGGCACATGCTTGGTGATGCAGCAACAAAAATTGGAACACAACAGCTGTGATTTGGAGCCCAAAGGAGCTGCAGCGCTTATGTGTTACTTAGAGAAGCATCTGCCCCCTCCTACTTCTCCCTGTGTTTTCCCAAAGCAAAAGCTATCTCTGTCCTTATCTTCAATAGAAACTATATCTTTGTTTACCCGGCTATGTTACTAGGACATAGAAGTGTCAGTGGATCAGATGATTCAAGGGTGTTTTTTTGCCCAAGACCATGTGATGTCATTTGAAACTTGTGCTACAGAGGTGAAGAGTTTCCAAATACCAGGGACAGTGTCAGGAGTCAGCATGACTGGGTGGATGCCAAGGCCCATGTTCTAAGAAGGGGTACACTAGTGACCCCCAGAACCCGCTGGGTTGCGTCTTGTGCTTTTCTGCCATCATTGACTAGGTTCAGACAACACAATAATCCACACTCAAGGGAAGAGTGCGGATTGTCAATGAACTGTGGGTTATTACAGAAGCATGCATTATCATGTTGCCTGGATCCAGCCAAGACAACAAACCATGGTGAACAAGACACCTTTCATAAGCCAACATGAAACCATGCATTCTCTTGTTCAGGCAGTTGGATTCAGACACCACAATAAGCACTGCTTCAACAACAACCCCCACAGTTCAATGACAACTCATAATCTATTCTCAATCCTGCAATGTGGGTAACTGTGTTGTCTGAACCCAGCCATTGTCTCTCTGTGCATGCACAGAGTGAGCAGAACAAGAAGAAACAGCAGCCTGTGCTTCTCTTGCTGTCCCCTTCATCCGGAAGGTGCAGGCAAGCAAATGTGTATTTGTGGGAATGGCAGCAATGGGATCCCACCCAGGGAGCCCCCCCACCCGAGGGCATCCTGCTTAAGGGACCCCCAAAATCTGGGGCCAACACTGCCAGAGACAAATGTTTTGTACCAGCTGCAGAAAATGTATCAAATCCTGTAACACTTCAGAAACAGTTCAAATTCTGGGGAAAGAGAACAGGGGGCCACATGTTATACCCAGGGACAAAAGCATGTCTGAATGCACCTCCATTCTAAACATGTTCCTCTGCAAAAAAGCAAGCATGTCATGCGAAGGGAGCTTCTCTCTAGATCTCAATGTGCAGGGAGATTTTATGCTCCAGCAAAGGAGGGTTCATGCATCAAACTGCAGCAACACCCATTCCAAGAAGCTGCTTACACCAAGACCATCTCTCAGTTTTGTGATTGGGGCTGGCAAGAGCATTCCAGGTTCTTAGGGAGATGTCACTGTTGTCCTTTGCTGTAGGATAAGTGGAAATGCTGGGCACTGAAACTGAGACCTTCTGCTTACAAAACAAGTGCTCTACCACTGAGCTAGAGTCTCTTTCCTTAGAATCTTGAAGGCACAGTTGCCCTTCGCCTCCCACTACAGGACTAGAACCTGCAAGCATCTTTGAAAGCAATGGCTCTGATCAAGTGCTCAGGCAGCCCCAAACAATTGCATCACTCCCTGAAGCAACGCCCTACTATTCTATGTACCTTTGCTTTATTCAGCACTTTAGCAGGTGTGAATATACCTGCTTCTCTTGTGCTCAAGTGCACATCTAGTCAGATTCTTTTTTTTTAACCATTAACAGTACTACAGCTATCTTTCTGCAGCAAGACTATCTTTCCAGACTGATGGATGGCAATTCTTCTTGCAAGGAGGTTTTCAGGAGCATCATACAACGCTGTTAAGGTGTAGCCCTGACAGATAACACGATAACCCACATTCAAGGCTTGAGCATGGGGTGTCTTTGAATGGTGGGTTGTTGTAGAAACTGGCGTTATCATGTTGTTTGGACCCAGCCACACTAACAAAGCATGGTTTGTTAAACACAAACAACTCACATTCCATAAGCCAACAACAAACCTTAGGTCCTGTTCATGTGGTTGTTTGTGTTATCATAACATGTTTGGATTATGATAACACAATAACCCATGGTTCAACATCCCACAATTCAAGGACATCTCACACTCGACCTATCTTTAACCCTTGAGTGTGGGGTATCACTGAACCCAGCCAATGACAAATATATGAGCAATGCACTAATCCCAAGTACTGTTAAGTTCTGCCACATATACCGAATCCCCAAATTGTTGCATTTAATGTTGCCATTCCAATTTCAAAAAGTAAGTATCCACTTTCTCTGCTAAACATAAATAAAAGCCAACTTTTATACATTCGCATCCCAAACAAACATTCTTGGGCCCCAGAGTACCACAATCCCATAACAAATAATTCTGCTTTATTTTTAATGTTGCTATGAAAATGTTTGTATAGTGTTTAAATGATCTGAAAAGATACAAAACGAACAGTTACCCAGCCAAAGCTGTTGTTTCTACTTGTTCTTCATTATTGTTCATTTTATGGGACAAATGTGGAACGAAACATCCGGATCGGTAACATGCAGTACCAGTCCCTGCCAGAAACAGGAAACTGGATTGCCTATTAATTCACAACCTTTGGTTTTTATGCATGGAAACTTTTAATATGCAAACACATGTCAGTTTGTGGCCAACATTTTGTTTGATGCCAAACAAAATAAACCAAAATGCCCTGCCAAAATCAAGACTTTTGTTAACTAAACACATTAAACCAACAGAGATCTCCAAGTTTAAAAATAGACTGGGCCCATTGTTTTAGTTCCACATCTCAACTATTGTATGCTCTGAAACCTCTTGAACTGTCAGTATCAATCGCTTGTAATTAAACAGATACCACAGCTTGAGCAAAGACTTCAAGCACAACACTCCTGATGGTGATGCTGTGTTCCGTTGCCATAAATGTGCATTTTAGCAATATAACCATGCAGTGATTATTATGCAACGCTGACCCTGAGATTTTTTAAACTTCTGCTTTCTTGGAAAGGATTACTAGGAGACAGTTGAAAATAAGTTCTCAAATTAATAATATAAACGGTTGAATCTACAGCCCCTTTAGCACTGAAGTTTCCCCTCTCCTAATGAGGAACACTTCAGCTTTACATTTGCTATTCAGAAGCATATGCAGTGAGCCTTATGCCCAGGTAAATGCACTTGGAAATGCAGCCTCAGCCCTGTACTTCTATGCCTGTTTACACAGAAGAAAGCTCCTGAGAGTTCAGGGGGATTTACTGCTGGGGAAGTAGGCTAAGCATTGTTGCTCTGAGCACCTTTAACTCCAAACACTTTGCCCCAGCTAGGCTGCAGACCAGGCCAATTCTGTTTCTCCTTATTTTCTCGCTTGGTTAGCAAGCTCGTCCAAGTAGCTCCAAACCCTCATAACTAGAAAGCTGGCTCTCATACAGAAACCATCCATCTTAAACTGTCTCCTGATCGGCTGCACTTTCTAGGCAGAGACAGGGGAAAATATGTGCGTGCCAGGCACAATTCTTCTGCTCACTGTAACTGCATAAAGTGTCCCACACAAGCTTCTGCCAAAGGAATAATCACTAGCGGTTTCTAGGCTTTCACTGCTGTTGTTGATTTTAATAAATATGACACATACTAATGCTTCCTGATCAACCCTGCCTGTTCTTTGGTATGCCAAGCAATGTACTTAGTCCTCAAGATTCTCAAGGTTTTCTTTGAGGAATCCAAATGCAACGGGGTCATTTCCATTCTCTGAACTGGGCACTTTTGCCAGGTCCATGCTAGGAACAGTGAGCTCAGAGGGAGGAGACTGGGCGGCACAGACTGGGGCTGTTACACCACAGCAACTGAAGTCTGGAAGGACTCAGGGAGGGTTTAAATGACAGCCTGGTCAAAAGGTGATGAAAAGCCAGGGATTCTGAGAGTTAGAGAAAAAGCTGGAAGAAGCTAGAAGTGGGGTATTAATGCTACTTTTATAAAACAGATTTTCTTGTACTCCATGGCAGAGTATCTCTGAACATGTACAGAGTTGTTTCCCAGGGGACATCTCTTTCATATCTCTCTGGAGACTATGCTTGGGTGTTGTATGCAGGCCAGTCTGCCAATACGGGTAGGAGGTCCACAGGTGCTGCTGAGAAAAGGTCTAGAGCATGACAGCCAGCGGAGAGCCATGTGGCGGAGAGGTTTGGATTCTGGAGTGGCAAGGTCAACAGCACAGCAGCTAGGAGACCGACACACACACACACACCTTGGCTCACTCAGTGCACTCTGCAAAAAGATTCCAGCCAGCCACCCCCACCACCCAGACCTGACCAGGCGGAGCTCAGCAGGGTGGTACAGTGTGTGGCCCTTTGCACTCACAGCATGCACGATGCATGTGGCACTAATAATACCCTGCCGCACGCATGCCCAACGAGGCAACATTCACATGCACTTACCCAGAAGTGATTCAGCAAGATCCCTCCCCCCACCAAAAAAGCTTCGGCTCTGGATCAGCCAGTTTTGGCGACAGGGTGAGAGAGTAAAATGCAGGTTGAACTGAGGCAGTTCTGAACCAGTGGTCACCCCATGGCATGTGCTGGGGAGGCAGATGGGAGCAGAGGCTAGGAAGGGAGCACATGATAGTCCATGATGGCACGTAAGATGCCTCCTAAGTAGCCACAAGCTTCCTTGTCGCTTTGTTGCTGTCACTTGCTGCCAAGTCCCCAGTCCGAACTGCCCTGTCCTTGTCAGCCCTGCTCAGCTCTTGCAAACTTAAGGCTGTGGCTTCCTTTATGGCATCAAGCGAACCACATCGCTCTGTGCCTCTTGGCTTGCCAGCTGGGGTTCGAGAGGCAGCTCTTAGGCTCAGCTCTTCCAGTCATCCTTGTTAAGACTTTGGTCAACAAACCGACCTACTGGAGGCGAGCATACAAATAATGCCACCCCAGGCTCCGAACCAGAGTTTTAACAAAGCACAACCATCCCCTCTGGTCAAGTTCCTAGAAATTCCATTCACTCCCCATAACTCCCTCAACATTCAGATGCAAACGCTGACAGGACGACGCAAACAACCGGAGCAGCCCCTCCCAAAGGCGTTGCACTACAACTCCCAGCATCCCCCAATGGGGTTGGGGGAAGCTGATCTGAAGCAAAGCGTGAAGCCATAAAAATTAAAAACGTTCCATCTGGAACTGGCAACGCTTGCCGCTGCACCGCAGGAGTGGTGACTGCGCTCTCGCTCGCCTTTCGCCTTCTGGGTCGTGGAGACGGTTTTGCTTGGCAGATGATCGTCCACCGCGCAATGACGCCACCACAACCCCAAGAGCGTAAACAAAGGCGTTGCACCCGCGCACCAACAGACAGGCACGAGGTAAAGCGTCCCTTCGCAATCGCCATCGCCCTCACTCTAGCAATGGCCCAATAACAACAGCAGGTAAAGCCCTTCACCTGTTCTTGTTGCATTGTTTGCAACAGCATCATCTATTCACGGCTACGATGCACTGCGTTTCTGCAAGTACGCGCACGGCGCCCAGCCAGGGCCCGCCACCGTTCCCCCGCAGCCGCCCCCGAGTCCGACAGCGCTGCTTCCGTCTCGCGAGCGCGGGCACCTGCCCGGCACCTTCCGCCCTGCCCACGCCCGACGCCAGCCGGGCCCGGACAGCCACCTGGGCGCGCGGCTCACCTGTTCCACTCGCCGCCGTAGCCGCCGGGGTGGTCCTTCCCGTCCAGAAACCTCGTCCAGCCGTCCGCCGTCTTCACCCAGCTCTGCCCCGGGGAGCGCCAGTCCTGCCCTAGAAAAGGCATCGTGGCCCGGCCGAAAGCGCAACCGCAGGAGCAGCAAAGCCGGCGACTTCGAGGGCTTTTCCTCTCGCACCCTCTTTCTCCGTCTCTCTCGCACTGCCCCCCCAAAGCAGAGGCGCACGAGAAGGGCTCGCTGCGGGGAGGAGCCTCCGTTCGCCGCGGACTCCGGAGCTCACGGGCCGCACGCCCAGGACAGCGGGACCGCTTCTTCCTGCGCCCCGATGAGCCTCGCCGGCGCCCTCCGAGGGGTGTCTCTGTGCCGCCTCCGGCCGCCTCGGTATTTATCCAGTGGGTGCTGGTGGCTCTTTGTTGCCGGAAGAGCGACGCGAGCTCCTCCCCTTGCTCGGGAGGGGACACGTGGCTTTGTTTATTGCCGCGCTCCGGCGTCCGCTGCAGAACGGCGGAGAGAAGGCGGCGCTGCTCGGCGCGACCTCCCTCCCCGCGCCTCTTGCGCAATCCCTGGATGGAAACTTTTGCCCTGGCACCGGGGTCTCGCTCAGCTGCCCAGCCTCGGTATATTTATAGGGCCCCAAAGCAAAGTTTAGCACAGACCAAAACAAAGAGAGGCTACAAGGAGACACGATGGACAACAATGCGCCATTTGGGGGACAAATTATTATTTTGCAAAATCCGCAGTTTGGCAGTACCTTTATTAGGTTTTTATTAGGATCCATTCAGTGGCAAGAGTGAGCTTTCGAGGGCTTCACAATTCTTCCGCAGCCTGCATGGTACATGAAGCAAGGGGTGGGGGAGTTTAAAAGTTAGGCTGAGTATTGCAAGCGTAGGGCCATATTTAGACCAGTGATGAGCAACACGTAGGTCCCATAGGGCCCTCCCAGCTGTTTTTGCCATCTTTATCTCACATCGCCAGGATCTCACAGTGGCAAAAAGAAAGCAAATTTCCCTCAAAGCTAGGCATGCGGGAATCCCACACCTAGTTGGGAAGCAGCACTACACTCCCAGGAGTGCAGTTTTGCTTCCAGACTAGGGGTGCGTCCCCATGATTTAAAGGAAAACCACCTTTTGCCACCTCCACTGTTTCTTTCCAACATGTTGGTGACCAATATGGTAGCAAGAAGATCTAAGGTATGTTCCTGTGGCCTCCAGGTCAACAAATTGCCCATTCTTGATTTAGACCCCCTATCTGAACGATGATTTAATGCATTATGGTGCAATCCTATGCATATTTAGACAGAAATAACTGCTGCAACCAAGGAAGTACGTCCCCACCCCAGCCCAGAATGAAGGAGCATTGAGGGGTGAGGGGGTGGCAGTGGTGATGACAGCATGTATTCCCACATCAGTTGGCCATGTTTCCCACTGCAGCTTCTGTCTTTTCGCTTATGAGAAAAAAATCCATTGACATGGAACAGATGGACTAGCTTCACAGTGTACTAGACTGGTAGCACTAAGAGCCCTCCGCCTGAAAGCACCCTGGGAGAATATTTCAGGGACACTGCAGTCATGTCCAGCAGCTGCTGATGGGCCTGGAACCATTCACAGGTTACTATTCTCCTAAAACGGTGGACTGCATCCACCTGCAAGAACAGCCTGGCTATCGTTTCTAATATCATTTCTCCTGGAACCAAAGAGAAGTAACCCAAAAGCCAGATACCTGGAACTGTGGATAAAAAAGACATGTAGCAATTGTGAGCAGCACTTCCCCACAATGTGCGTGGATGCAGAGACAAATACCTGATAAATACTTTCATACACGCCTATTATACTTGTGCATCCGTATAGTAAATGTGCAGAGTACTAGTAGAGCATGAACTAGACCCTACTCCTTAAATACATAAGCCCATCAATTGCTGGAGTAAGTTGAGGTTTATTATCCTCAGAGAGAAGCTTGTTCTTGGAGTTGGTTGGACGTCTCTATTGACATCCCCAACAGGCCTAGTCAGGCATTATTTCTTCAAGTAAGTCATGTCACATATAGGTGAGAAGAGGTGTCCAGCTTTGGGAAGAGGTGTCCAGCTTGCAGCAGAGAAGCCCGTAGAACATGTGCCAGCTTTCTCTGTAACCCGAAATGCTCTGCAATTAGGGTTCTTGATCACAGGAAGGGCATGCAGACCTGATCTCTCCTACAGGCGATGCGGAGCCCTAGGGATGACCCTGTTCTCCCATCCATGCAGTATTAAGTATGTGGGGAAACAATTCCTGAATAATAACAGAAATGACAGGGGGGCTTCCCTGAAATACAGCTTGCTCACCCGGGCCAGTTGTGCTCTGCAGTGGAGAGATGAAGTAGTGCAGTGGAACTGTGTGCATTTCAGGGCGGGATGGGACCTTTTGAAGTTCTTCAGTCACACTTGAACTTTGCATTAGTTCTTCAATCTTAACTTCTTTCTCTCCTATATGTAAAAAAACGTACATTTTGTTAAGTTCTTATCAAAAACAAACCCAAATGAAATGCTCATGCATCTGCCCAGCCAAATTCAAAGCATCCAGCTATTTCCAGCATGGAGACAACCTTGATATACTGGTATGCAATAAAGGTGCCAAAGATGAAGAGTCTGTTAGGGAAAAAAAAAAAGATACAGCAATCCTAATTATGCCCTAACAAGGTTGAACAGAGAGAGAGTTAAATCCAGACTTTCAAGAGCAAGAACTTAATGCCTCAGGCCAGGATGGACAAATTTGTCAAATTTGTGGGTGTCTCCCACATTCATACACTTTCCCCACTCCAGTTATTTTTACCCTGAATTTGGAGAACTTCAGTTATGGTAAATTCTGTTCAAAACTGTCCTGTAATGATATTCTTACGCATCCCTACTTGAGTCTTAGTTCATGTGAGGTGACAACAATTTGGCCATGGACCTGGGTTTGCACCCGAGCACATGGGCCACCATTCCCTGCTATGCACAAAGAGTCTGTGGCAGAGATTGAGATTCCTTGGCAGGCAAGTCAAAATGGAAAGTATTTCTTGAAGGTAGAAAGTTAAAAACCACTGTTCTAGGATGAGTGATCATGTAACAGACCTTCTCTCTCCATTTAGCCCACTTCACTGGGGCTGCTGGGAAGGTTAGATGAGGTAAGACTGAGAAATCACTTCGTACACTGGGGATCTTCTATCAAAAATATGAGCACAACTTTTAAATTGTGTGTCTATGCTAAAGCCCTCTGGGCAGTTTACAAGTGTTCCTAAGGGGACCCTGATGCAAGAGAATAATTCAGGAGGGTTTTATGATCATTCCCCCCTAAATGCTTCCATGATTCTTGTTGTTCAGACATGCAAGAAAGAAATTGATGTTTACTTTTCAATATATCCAAAGATAATGCATCTTGATTCTCCCTGTCTAAGAGACCATCCATCACTTGACAGTGTTTCTGTCATGTGAGTGTCTTACTTTCATTTGATTACAGTTACAATCCTATTGGGATGCCCATGTGGCTGTGAATTCAGAAGCTCACGGTCATCCTTTGGTCAAAAGGAGGAACGGTGCCGGTGATCTTTGCTTCCTCATCCTCCTGTCCGGCATATTCCACTAGACTGTTTCTTATTTTCCATGGGGCAGGGAATGAGGCTGGATAGACTTCATTTTCTAGATTTTCCAGTCTTCTCTTGTCCCTGCCCATTGCCTCCTCTCCGAGGTTGTTTTCCTGACCTATGAGAGCGGCCACTGTTATTCTTTCTGCACTGCTGCAAGGGGGCAGGAGAGGGACACAGAGTTCTGATTCCTAGCCCTGAATTCAGAGCACTGTCTCCACCCTTGGATCTTGATATCTGAATATCCTGTTTTTGTTCTGGGGCCATTGGATTGCTCCCTCTTCTGCTGAAATTAGAGCTTCTCCTTGTACAAGTCATGCAAACCACAGAATCAGAATCGGTACCAGAGCAGGGCATTTTCTTGGAAGTGGTTCTTATTTGAGACTAGGCATCAAAGAAACTGCCCATTTTGGATTCTCTCCATTTTTCATCTTCCAGTCTAGAATTTATTTCATCCAAAACATCAAGATTTGGATAAGATTGGTATGCATCTTTGTACACATTTCTCATAGGTGCATTTAATGCCATGTTTCCTTTATATTCATGTTTTTGTGAGCAAATTTGCTAATGTAATGCATGCTTTTCACATTATTTTCACCATTTTTGCATGCACTTCCCTCAGATAGATGCACTCTTGAACTTTTCTTTTTTTTATTGGAGACCTCCATTGCAAAATTTGGAGAAGTGAAAATTCCAGTGAAAATTTGTGGAAAACTGGTGTTCAGGCTTGCATGGCTGCATAGAAGCTCTCTTCTTTGGACAGTCATACTGCATCTGTAGGCAGTGATAAAAATGGTGTTAGTTAACATGCTCCCTCTGCTTGCACATTTGCTCCATTTGGATACAAAACTTCTAAATACATTTCATTGCAAAAATTGTTGTACTAGCTGAAGGCCTTGACTCTCTCTATACACACACGTATGGAAGTGAAGACCAAGCCCAAGATCATGCACAGTCTTGTATTCCTGATCACTGTGC